CGTCTTTGCATGTGCCCTATAGGCTGACATTTTGAAACTCGCCATTAGCGATGTAATGTTTTTATACTCTGTAATAAAAAGGGGGAGATGTGATGTTTGTGTTTATTTTTTATTTTCTTTTTTTTTCTGAGGATGGCTCTACAGCGAGAGATTTATAAGTTCATTTGAAGATTTTCCTCTTTTCTATAATACTAGCTGTTAAATGGTGCAAAAGGATGAGAGAGAAAGAAAGGAAGAGGAGATTTTGTAGCCAGTAAAAGTTGGTAATGAGAGGAGATGGATCGGGCGGTGTTGTATAGTGCGGTATATATGGCAGCAGCTGAGTGTTGAAATGTCACAAAATTACAATTCTTGCTGCACAGATATCAGACTTTTACCTGTGAGCCAGAAAGGAAGGAAGATACGAAAAGCTTAGAAAAAGACAAATGTTGCAAAAGTTAAAGGTTGCATCCAACCAAACCTGATATTTTACTTTTTGGCGTACACTAGAGAGTTCCCAGGTTTTTATACCTGCTGTGCCCATTATGAGGGGTTCCCACCATCCTTGTGCTGAGTTCCTGTATTATACATGGAGATCATATCCCCCCTTATGTATTATACATGGTGATCATATCCCTCCTTATGTATTGTACATGGAGATCATATCCCCCCTTATGTATTATACATGGTGATCATATCCCTCCTTATGTATTGTACATGGAGATCATATCCCCCCTTATGTATTATACATGGAGATTCCATTCCCCCTTGTGCATTATACATGGAGATCATATCCCCCCTTATGTATTATACATGGAGATCATATCCCCCTTATGTTATTATACATGGAGATCATATCCCCCCCTTATGTATTATACATGGAGATCATATCCCCCCTTATGTATTATACATGGAGATCATATCCCCCCCTTATGTATTATACATGGAGATCATATCCCCCCTTATGTATTATACATGGAGATCATATCCCCCTTATGTATTATACATGGAGATCATATCCCCCCTTATGTATTATACATGGAGATCATATCCCCCCTTATGTATTATACATGGAGATCATATCTCCCCTTATGTATTATACATGGAGATCATATCCCCCCTTATGTATTATACATGGTGATCATATCCCCCTTATGTATTATACATGGAGATCATATCATATCCCCCCTTATGTAGTATACATGGAGATCATATCCCCCCCTTATGTATTATACATGGAGATCATATCACCCCCTTATGCATTGTACATGGAGATCATATACCCCCTTATGTATTATACATGGAGATCATATCCCCCCTTATGTATTATACATGGAGATCATATCCCCCCTTATATATTTTACATGGAGATCATATCCCCCTTTATCTATTATACATGGAGATCATATCCCCCCTTATGTATTATACATGGAGATCATATCCCCCTTATGTATTATACATGGAGGTCATATTCCCCTTATGTATTATACATGGAGATCATATCCCCCTTATGTATTATACATGGAGATCATATCCCCCCTTATGTATTATACATGGTGATCATATTCCCCCTTATGTATTATACATGGAGGTCATATTCCCCTTATGTATTATACATGGAGATCATATCCCCCCTTATGTATTATACATGGAGATCATATCCCCCCTTATGTATTATACATGGAGATCATATCTCCCCTTATGTATTATACATGGAGATCATATCCCCCCTTATGTATTATACATGGAGATCATATCTCCCCTTATGTATTATACATGGAGATCATATCTCCCCTTATGTATTATATACATGGTGATCATATCCCCCTTATGTATTATACATGGAGATCATATCCCCCCTTATGTATTATACATGGTGATCATATCCCCCCCTTATGTATTATACATGGAGATCATATCCCCCCATATGTATTATACATAGAGATCATATCCCCCCCTTATGTAGTATACATGGAGATCATATCCCCGCTTATGTATTATACATGGAGATCATATCACCCCCTTATGTATTATACATGGAGATCATATCCCCCTTATGTATTATACATGGAGATCATATCCCCCCTTATGTATTATACATGGAGATCATATCCCCCCTTATGTATTATACATGGAGATCATATCCCCCCTTATGTATTATACATGGAGATCATATCCCCCCCTTATGTATTATACATGGAGATCATATCCCCCTTATGTATTATACATGGAGATCATATCCCCCCTTATGTATTATACATGGAGATCATATCCCCCCTTATGTATTATACATGGAGATCATATCCCCCCTTATGTATTATACATGGAGATCATATCCCCCCTTATGTATTATACATGGAGATCATATCCCCCCTTATGTATTATACATGGAGATCATATCCCCCCTTATGTATTATACATGGAGATCATATCCCCCCTTATGTATTATACATGGAGATCATATCCCCCTTATGTATTATATATCACCAACGTCATCTGCGGATATCACTCAAACCGTCCTCTCAGCTCCTCCCAAAACCTCCTGTTCTCTTACTCCATTGTTACCTCCTCCCATGCTCACCTCCAGGACTTCTTCCCATCCTTTGGAACTCCCTGCCCCAGTATGTCCAGTTAGCCCCCACCCTGTCCACCATTAGGCGATCCTTGAAAACTCATTTACTCGGGGAAGCCTACCCCACCTCCACCTAAGAACGGTACTTGAGTCACCTCCATCAGATCATCCCCCGCAGTTATCACCTTTTGTACCACCTGCTCCTCTCTTTGGATTGTAAGCTCTGTTTTCAGGGCCCCCCAATTCCTTCTGTACTGAAATGTATTGTAATTGTGCTGCCCCCCTTATATTGTAAAGCGCTGCACAAAGTGTTGGTGCTATATAAATCCTGTATATAATAATAATAATAAAAACAATTAGTATATGTTTACTGGGTTGTTTTTTTACCAAAAATATGTAACAGAATACAGATTAGCCTACATTTATGTTTTTTTTAAAAAATTTTGTATTGGAAATGTTTTATAGCAGAAAGTAAAAAATATTGTTTGTTTTTCAAAAGTTTCAGTCTTTTTTAGTTAATAGCGCAAAAAAAAAAAAAAAAAAAACAGTGGTGATCAAATACCACCAAAAGAAAACTCTGTTTGTGGGAAAAAAAAATCATATCAATTTTGTTTGTGTACAGTGTTGCATGACAGTGTAATTGCCAGTTAAAGTGTTACTAAACCCAGGACCCAGCATTCATTATAGATCTATTATCTCCTGCGTTCGAAGACTCAGATCAAACGAGCGTTAATAACAAACAGCGTGTTCATCCGCTGGTGATCAGAGGTTGTGCAGCTCTATCATGAAGCTGGGGAAGCTTAATAAAACTGTAGAAGAGGATGAAAGAAAGAGCGCACAAACCTTGCGCATTACCTCAATAAATAGTGACTCATTTTATTTAGGAAATATACTCACAAAAGTGACGGTAAAACAGGCATAAGTAACCATAATCCACACAGGGTATAGTGTCTAAACAGGCTGAAGTGCTGTAATACTGACACTGAGTGGCTGAATGTCTCCTTGCTATGAGAACTCTGCCATACTGAAGTTTCTATCTGCCAAACCCAGCTCTGATGAAGAAGGGAGCGCCCTTTGAAACGCGTTAGCTTTTATCTCTCCCCTTTGGATTTACCTGTAACCCTGTGTGGATTATGGTTACTTATGCCTGTTATACCGTCACTTTTGTGAGTATTTTTCCTAAATAAAATAAAATTAGTCATTATTTATTGAGGTAATGCGCAAGGTTTGTGCGCTCTTTCTTTCATCCTCCCCTGCAGTCATTATATCTGGTCTCCCCGGACCCTGCATTCACTATATCCGGTCTCCCTGGACCCTGCATTCACTATATCTGGTCTCCCCGGACCCTGCATTCACTATATCTGGTCTCCCTCGGACCCTGCATTCACTATATCCGGTCTCCCTGGACCCTGCATTCACTATATCTGGTCTCCTCGGACCCTGCATTCACTATATCCGCTCCCGGACCCTGCGTTCACTATATCCGGTCTCCAGGACCCTGCATTCACTATATCTGGTCTCCCGGACCCTGCATTCACTATATCTGGTCTCCCCAGACCCTGCATTCAATATGTCTAGTCTTCCCGGACCCTGCATTCCCTATATCTGGTCTCCCTGGACCCTGCATTCACCATCTGGCTCGGACCCTGCATTCACTATATCTGGTCTCCCGGACCCTGCATTCACTACATCTGGTCTCCCGGACCCTGCATTCACTATATCTGGTCTCCCGGTCCCTGCATTCACTATATCTGGTCTCCCCGGACCCTGCATTCACTACATCTGGTCTCCCCGGGCCCTGCATTCACTATATCTGGTCTCCCCGGACCCTGCATTCACTACATCTGGTCTCCCCAGACCCTGCATTCACTATATCTGGTCTCCCCAGACCCTGCATTCACTATATTTGGTCTCCCCGGACCCTGCATTCACTATATCTGGTCTCCCCGGCCCTGCTCATTCACTATACCCTGCATTCACTATTCTCCCCGGACCCTGCATTCACTATATCTGGTCTCCCCAGACCCTGCATTCACTATATCTGTTCTCCCTGGAACCTGCATTCTTTACTGACCAATTACAGTGGTCAAGAGATCAGAAAGATCATTCCACCCTCAAGTTAGAGGGACCCTGGGGCTGGGCATAAAGGTGGGTGCTGTATCTCTTAAAAAGCCCATATATACTGTATATATTACTATAGCTGTTAACTTTTAAAGTGTTACTAAGGCCAGGACCCTACATTCACTATATCTGGTCTCCCCAGACCCTGCATTCACTACATCTGGTCTCCCCAGACCCTGCATTCACTATATTTGGTCTCCCCGGACCCTGCATTCACTATATCTGGTCTCCCCAGACCCTGCATTCACTATATTTGGTCTCCCCGGACCCTGCATTCACTATATCTGGTCTCCCCGGGCCCTGCATTCACTATATCCGCTCTCCCTGGACCCTGCATTCACTATATCTGGTTCTCCCCGGACCCTGCATTCACTATATCTGGTCTCCCCGGACCCTGCATTCACTATATCCGGTCTCCCCGGACCCTGCATTCACTATATCTAGTCTCCCCGGACCCTGCATTCACTATATCTGGTCTCCCCGGACCCTGCATTCACTATATCTGGTCTCCCTGGACCCTGCATTCTATATCTACTCCCTGGACCTGCATTCTTTACTGACCAATTACAGTGGTCAAGAGATCAGAAAGATCATTCCACCCTCAAGTTAGAGGGACCCTGGGGCTGGGCATAAAGGTGGGTGCTGTATCTCTTAAAAAGCCCATATATACTGTATATATTACTATAGCTGTTAACTTTTAAAGTGTTACTAAGGCCAGGACCCTACATTCACTATATCTGGTCTCCCAGGACCCTGCATTCACTATATCTGGTCTCCCCGGACCCTGCATTCACTATATCTGGTCTCCCAGGACCCTGCATTCACTATATCTGGTCTCCCAGGACCCTGCATTCACTATATCTGGTCTCCCCGGGCCCTGCATTCACTATATCTGGTCTCCCCGGACCCTGCATTCACTATATCTGGTCTCCCAGGACCCTGCATTCACTATATCTGGTCTCCCCGACCCCGCATTCACTATATCTGGTCTCCCCGGACCCTGCATTCACTATATCTGGTCTCCCCGGACCCCGCATTCACTATATCTGGTCTCCCCGGACCCCGCATTCACTATATCTGGTCTCCCCCGGACCCTGCATTCACTATATCTGGTCTCCCACAGTACACATGTAGGGAACTGTTATTTTATACACTAGTTGTGGTTTGTTTACATCCATATACAGCCACTACCATAGAGGTCCCATTACAGACAAGTCCCTAGGTGTGCTTCCTGCCCCTACAAGGAGGTCAAGAAACCCCAGGATGTGATATAGTTGTTTTCCAGGAAGTATCAGGCAGAGGGTGCCAGCCTGCCATGTGCTGTGTATCTGGGGAGAACTGTATGGTGATTCTATGAGTACTGATCCAGATTAACAAGGCTGTTATCTATGTAGTTGTTACTGAAGCAGATTAGGTCTGCCTCTGTTATATTTCAACTTCTGTATTGGAACCCTAATATCTCTGTAAGAGAGAGAGTTGTGATTCATTATCATTATTCTATTTACACTGCAGAATCCTCATAGTTGTCTATATATATATATAGATTCGTGTTTTCACCTGCATAAGACTGTCAGGTGAACTTCCTGTTAATTGCAGTGTATCTTTGCAGCCTCTTTGCTTAAAGCCATAACATCCTTATTGGTCTGGATCTCTCTTTCTCTAGGATTAGCATAGGGAGCGTTGGATAGATTAGGCTAGAGGTAGGTTAGGCATCCGACGGCCACTTAGACAGATAGAGGCCCGGTTGCAGTGACAGCCCAGTTTAGGGATAGGGACTAAGAGTGAGAATAGATAGGGCATTTTATCCTTTTAGGTGATGCATCACTGATCTTCAGACAAGCAGTACAATCATCCGCATAGAACGTGTTACTTGGACGCCATCGCAGCATCTAAAGTGGAAGCGTGCATCTTATTGACTCTCACCTCTCCAGGGGCCCCTGCAACCGGACTGCGCTATAACCCATGGTTGGAGGTATTCTGTATACTACATGCACATATACCCGGGTATAATTGCAACCTCCCAATTTATGGTAAATTGTAATTCCTGAATGTTATTCTTATGCATCCTGTTTTATGTGGCTGCTTTATATAAACTTTGCATTAATCTCATACAGGTGTGGTGACATGTTTTCATGTTAGAAATATAAGCTGGGGGCATTAATACTGCTATGTATAGTTACTGTAAGTTGTCTACCTGTTACATTCCTAGAAAGGGGGGAGTCTCCTCAATTGCAGGATCCCTATTCTAGGTGGAGGCACTGCCATTTGTATTATCACAACCCCCTCTTCCATATAGCGAAGGCTCAGGATTGCCTACTCATATACAGGTTAGCGCCATAGCTTGTTTGGTGTGGGCCATTTCACATAACCCCCCCCCCCCCAAAACAGGGCTACACACACAACATGGAAATGCAATTATTGTAGCAAATGTAAACTGGTAAATGCCTTTTCTCAACAGCAGTATATAGCAGTCTTGTGACTTCCACCAGTGCCCAGCAGAACACTGGTTAAAGCTTGTAGGAGGAGTTTTCATTCTGCTCTGACTGTCCTATGAAGCTGCAAAACCCCTGGACAGTGCTAGGTGGTCCTGTGCTGATCACATGCACCCTCCCAAAGAAAAAAAAAAAACACTCTCTAGCAATACACACTAAACTAAGCATGTGCAGAGTGCCTCCTAGAGCTCTGTACTATCAGCAGATGGATTGGGGGCAGTAGTAGGGGAGGAACAGAGAAGACAGGATCAAACAGCCTTTTTACACATTTCGGAGGATTAACCCCTTGGGTTCCACAGTGAGTATAACAAGCATGCTTTACTGCATCTACAGACTGATTGTTCTGTTGTGGGTTTAGTAACACTTTAAAGTAACACCAAAAAGCAAAAAATGGCCTGGTCATGAAGGGGAAGGGGAGGGGGGGGGGGGGTAAATCTTCCACAGCTGAAGTGGTTAAATCAGCTGCTGAAAGTGAACAAACATGAGGGCTTGTTATCACTTTAAAATCAAATCCATCTTTTTTTCCCTGTGAGTCCGGACCGAATAACTGTTTCATTGAAATGCAATGCCAGCAGATGCACAGTGGCTAAGTGGCTAGCACTTCCACCCAGCAGCACTAGGGTTGTCAGTGTATTATTTTATTTATTTCAGGTACTTTTATAGTGCTGTCAATTTACGCAGCACTTTACATATATATTGTACATTCACATCAGTCTCTAACCCTCAAGGGGCGTACAATCTAAGGTCCCTAACTCACATTCATACAGTTGCAAGAAAAAGTATGTGAACCCCTTGGGATTACGTGGAGTTTTGCATGAATTGGGCATAAAATGTGCTCTGAACGTCATCTAAGTCACAACAATAGAAGAACACAGTCTGCTGAACATAATACTACACAAACATTAGATGTTGCCATGGTTTAATTGCACATAACATGTAAACATTCACAGTGCAGGGAGGAAAAAGTATGTGAGGCCCTAGCTTAATGACTTCTCCCAGAGCTAATTGGAGCCAGGAATGAGCCAACCTTGACTCCAATCAGTGTGATGATATTGGATGTGTTGCTGACAGCTGTCCTGCCCTTAAAAAACACACACCTGTTTTGGGTTTACTGGTTTCAAGAAGCACTGTCTGATGTGAACCATGCCTCGCAGAAAAGAGCTCTCAGAAGACCTACCATCAAGAATTGTTGACTTGCATGAAGCTGGAAAGGGTTACAAAAGTATCTCCAAAAGCCTTGATGTTCATGTGTCCACGGTAAGACAGACTGTCTACAAATGGAGAAAGTTTAGCACTGTTGCTACTCTCCCTAGGCGTGGTCGTCCTGTAAAAAATTACTGCAAGAGCACAGAGCAGAATGCTGCATGAGGTAAAGAAGAATCCCAGAGTGTCAGCTAAAGACCTACAGAAATCTCTGGCACATGCTAACATTTTTGTTGACACATCTACAATAAGGAAAACATTAAACAAGAATGGAGTACATGGGAGGACACCACGGAGGAAGCCATTGCTGTCCAAAAAGAATATTGCAGCACGTTTGAAGTTTGCAAAAGAGCACCTGGATGTTCCACAGCACTACTGGCAAAATATACTGTGGACAGATGAAACCAAGATTGAGTTGTTTGGGAAGAACACACAACACTATGTGTGGAGAAAAAAAGGCACAGCACACCAACATCAAAACCTCATCCCCACTGTGAAACATGGCGGAGGAAGCATCATGGTTTGGGGCTGCTTTGCTGCCTCAGGGCCTGGACGGATTGTTGTCATTGATGGGAAAATGAATTCCAGAGTTTATCAAGACATTTTGCAGGAAAACGTACGACCATCTGTCCGCCAACTGAAGCTCCGCAGAGGATGGGTGATGCAACAGGACAATGACCCAAAGCATACAAGTAATTCAACAAAACAATGGCTGCAACAGCACAGAATACGCCTTCTGGAGTGGCCCAGTCAGAGTCCTGACCTCAACCCGATTGAAATGCTGTGGCATGACCTTAACCTCCCTGGCGGTATGATTATTTCAGATTGTTGGTGCTGAAAGCGGTACCATTATTTTGCATGGAAATATGTAGTTTTTTATTGTAGGCTATAATTTTTAGGAATAACTCACTGAAATCTGTCCGAACAAGAGTCTAGTAAACATCCCGGGTATGATAAAACTTGAAACACAAAATCATAAATTATAATTTAATAAATAATCATAAAAAATAATAATATAATAATAATACATTTAATTCAATAATATAATCAAACCAAAAACACTGAAATTTGAAATAGAGCGCCAAGTTCGCACATTGCTGAGCAAAGTCGCAAAATCGTTTTCAGTGTCTGATGAGGAATTTCCCCCACGAATCATTATCACTCAATTCTGCAAGTGGTTCTGATTTACTATCGCTGTTCTAGCTGATCTAAACCGCTTTTGACCTAAAGGGACGCTTTTTGGACGCCATGGACGTTTCTCAGTTTCCAGGCAGAAAGAACAGACAAAATGCAGGCGGGGCGCCGGACAAAGCACTCGGGACAAAATGTATGTGAAATTGGTTGAGACAGCAATGTTTTACTATGTAAAATGTAAAAAAAAATTGACATTATTTAAAATTTTTAAATTTCCCGCCGCCGGCGGCGCCCGTACGTCCCAACGTCACAGGGACAGGACACAGAAGCCGGATGCCGGCATCGGCCGAAGGTGATGGCCGGGGACGCTGCAGGGGACACATCGTGGGGAGCGCAGGGTAAGGTAAGTGAAGAACAAATGCCGGAGCAGTGCCGCATGGTATACCGAGTGTAGCTCGGGGTTACCGCTCTTGGTACTGAAATGTTACCCCGAGCTACACTCGGGAATACCGCCAAGGAGGTTAAGAGAGCGATTCACACCAGACATCCCAAGAATATTGCTACACTGAAACAGTTTTGTGAAGAGGAGTGGTCCAAAATTGCTCCAGATCGTTGTGCAGGTCTGATCTGCAACTACAGGAAATGTTTGGTTGAGGTTATTGCTGCCAAAGGAGGGTCAACCAGTTATTAAGTCCAAAGGTTCACATACTTTTTCCTCCCTGCACTGTGAATGTTTACATGTTATGTACAATTAAACCATGGCAACATCTAATGTTTGTGTAGTATTATGTTCAGCAGACTGTGTTCTTCTATTGTTGTGACTTAGATGACGTTCAGAGCACATTTTATGCCCAATTCATGCAAAACTCCACGTAATCCCAAGGGGTTCACATACTTTTTCTTGCAACTGTACATATACTGTACTAGGGACAATTTAGACAGGAGCCAATTCCCCTACCAGCATGCCTTTGTAGTGTGTGAGGAAACCGGAGTACCCAGAGGAAACCCACACAGACACAGGGAGAACATGCAAACTGCATAAAGTTAGTGCGACAGTTTGGATTCAAACCAAAGATCGTAATGCCATCAGGCAGAGGTACTAATCACTTAGCCACTGCACATCGTGACAGATTGTTTTTCTTTTCACCAAAGCTTTTTTGGGGTGTTTCAGGACACAACGCTGTGTGATATATGATCACTTGGCAAATCTAGCCTCACTCAATATATTACCTACTATATAAGTACCTGAAATAAATAAATACTATAATCACCCCTAAAGAAAAGTAACACTTTCACCCTTGAAAGAAAATAATAATAATAAACCTTTTCTTTCACTAAAGTGTCAGAAAGAAGAAGAAGACGTATTACGCCAAACCGGAGGTGCCGCAGCGGCCATTTTGGAATCTGGAAAAAACGTGGTTTCTGAATAGAAAAACTGCTGAGGCTGGTTTGTTGGCTCTATGCTGATTACTATTTACCCCCAATGTAAGATGCTATATTAACCTCCCTGGCAGTATTCCCGAGTGTAGCTCGGGGTAAAGTTTCAGCACCACAAGCGGTAACCCCGAGCTACACTCGGGAATACACTGCAGCGTTGCTCCGTGATCCCTCGATCACTTACCTTGTCCTGCGCTCCCACGATGTCCCTCCTGCAGTGTCCCCAGCAATGTCCTCCGGCGGATGCCGGCATCTGTCTTCCGGGTTCAGTCCCCTGCAACGTCGGGACGTACGGGGGATGGAATGGCGGGAAATTTGAAAATGACAAAAAGTGACATTCACTAAATACACTAAAATCACATAGTATAACATTCCTGTATCAAACCATTTCACATACATTTTGTCCCGAGTGCTTTGTCCTGCGCCCTGCCTGCATTTTTACTGTTCTTTCTGCCTGGAAACTGAGAAACATCCATGGCGTCCAAAAAGCGTCCCTTTAGGTCAAAAGCGGTTTTAGACCGGCTAGAGAACAGCGATAGTAAATCAGAACCACTTGCAGAATTGAGTGATAATGATTCGTGGGGGAAATTCCTCATCAGACACTGAAAACGATTCTGCGACTGAGCTCAGCGATGTGCGAACTTGGCGCTATATTTCACATTTCAGTGTTTTTGGTTTGATTATATTATTGAATTACATTTATTATTATAATAATAATTATAATACTATTCTCGTTTCAAAGTGTCCCACTCTAATCAGATAATTAAGCCATAACACCTGCAAAGGGTTCCCGAGCCTTTAAATGGTCTCTCAGTCTGGTTCAGTAGGAATCACAATCATGGGAAAGACTGCTGACCTGACACCATCATTGACACCCTCCATAAGGAGGGAAAGCCTCAAAAGGTAATTGCAAAAGAAGTTGGATGTTCCCAAAGTGCTGTATCAAAGCACATTAATAGAAAGTTATGTGGAAGGGAAAAGTGTGGAAGAAAAAGGTGCACAAGCAGCAGGGATGACCACAGCCTGGAGAGGATTGTCAGGAAAAGGCCATTCAAAAGTGTTGGGGATTTTCACAAGGAGTGGACTGAGGCTGGAGTCAGTGCATCAAGAGCCACCACACAGAGATGGATCCTGGACATGGGCTTCAAATGTCGTATTCCTCTTGTCAAGCAGCTCCTGAACAACAAACAACATCAGAAGCGTCTTACCTGGGCTAAAGAAAAACAGACCTGGTCTGTTACTCAGTGGTACAAAGTCCTCTTTTCTAATGAGAGCAACTTTTGCATCTCATTTGGAAACCAAGGACCCCGAGTATGGAGGAAGAACGGAGAGGCCCAAGGACCCCGAGTATGGAGGAAGAATGGAGAGGCACAAGGACCCCGAGTATGGAGGAAGAATGGAGAGGCCCAAGGACCCCGAGTATGGAGGAAGAATGGAGAGGCACAAGGGCCCAGAGTATGGAGGAAGAATGGAGAGGCCCAAGGACCCCGAGTATGGAGGAAGAATGG